TGCTGGGCTCCGGTGATCCTTCTGCCTCAGCCTTCCAAGTAGCTGGAACTACAGGCACGCACCAACACACCTGGCTAATTTTTTATTTATTGTAGAGACAAGGTCTCGCCAAGTTGCCCAGGCGGATCTCGAACCCGCGGGCTCAGGCAATTTATTCGTTTCAGCCTCCCAAAGTGTGGGATTACAGGCTGAGTCACCGAGCCCGGCTTCTACAGTTTTTATCCCAAGACTTTGTGTTAATTTTATGTAGGTGGTTTCATCATTTTGCACTTCCAGTTGCAGTATATGTCTGCTTCCCCTTGCCTACGTGTTTTCAAACTTTAGGATTTTTGCCTGAAAAAGTGGCCTCTCGGTGTAATGCTATTTTATGTCTTTTTTATTTTTGATCTATGGGGTACAAGTGAGAATTTACTACCTAAGAAGTTGTATGCAGGTGAAGTTTGGGCTTCTAGCTGGCCCTCTGCCTGATGGTAGACCAGGCATCCAGTGTTACCACATGCACCCCTCCCGCCTCCCTCCCCTAAGTGTGGAGCCTGCCAATCCTACTCTTGTGCCGTGACCAGTGATCAGGGTTCATCTATAAGAACACGCGGTACTCAGTTGTTTCTGTAATCGTTTACTTAGTATAATGCTCTTCACTTGCATCCCTGTTGCTGCAAAGCTCATGATTTTGTTCTTCTTTATGGCTGCATATTTCATTGTGTTTATGTACCACATTTTCTTTATCCAGTCCACTTTCAATGGGCATCTGGGGTGGGTTCAAATTTTTGCTATCATGAATAGTGCTGCTATAAACACACATGTGCAGGTATTTTTTTGGTAGAGCATAAATCAGTATTTGGAAGGAAAAATAAAGTGAGGAATAAGCTTATCCACTTTCAAAATTAGGCAGGTACAGCAATCAACACAGAATGGTATTGGCAGAGGTTTAGGCTCATAGATCAATAGAATATAGAGAACCCAGAAACAAACATGAATATGCTCAAATAATTTTTTACTGACATGTAAAAGCAATTCATTGAAGCAGGAGTCTTTTCAACAAAGCTTGTTTTTTAAAAAAAACCTCATAATACAAAAATCAGTATGAATCAGATTTAAACAAAAAGTTAAAATTATAGAACTTTTAGGAGAAAACATAAGAGAAATATCAAGGACCCCAAACAAGGTTAGGAGTTCCCAGACATGACAAAACAAAAAGATGCCTTCAAAAGTCATGAATTAATGTAATGAGGTCTGACAATTAAGTCTGCAAACTTGCCACTGAGCACTTACATTGGCAGCACTAGACAAACCAACCAGTAATGTTTCATAGCCTTGGCATATCAAAGTCTCACAGCTGTGTCTGTGTCAATGAGTGGCGGTGTCTTGTTGAGTGGCGTTCATTATCACTGCTGCATGTTTTGTGGGTGCCATCATGAGAATATCAGAGCTTGAATTAGAGCAATGAACAAACCAAATTTCTGTTAAACTTTGCAAGAGTGGAAGTGAAATCAGGGATTTGTCAGTATAAGTTTATGGGGATAATGGCATAAAGAAAACGACAATGTACAAATGGATTAAACATCTTTCTGAGGGGAGAGAAAGCATCACTGATGAAGAGAAGTCAGGATGGTCAGTAACAAGCAGAACTGACGAACACATTTCCAAAATTTGTCAAGCTGTACATCAAAATCACTGGCTGACTGTGAGAATCACAGCAGACCAAATAAACACTAATGGAGAAACAGGAAAATCTTAACTGAAAATCTTGGTGTGAGAAAATTGTGTACAAAAATGGTCCTGAAGTGTTGGGAGCCGGCCATGGAGGTCCACCGAGCGTTAGGGATCAGGAAGGGCTGTTGACCCCGAGACCACTAGGAAGCAGTCAGGAGCTATTGACCCCGTTCCCTCCCCCTTTCTACTCAGCACTAACCAGATTAAGCTCCTGTGAGCTCAAAACATAAAAACTTTGAGATCGGGATGAACACAAGCTAACTTTAGAAGCTCATTGCTCCCATTCTTCCACAAACTGCCGTTTTGGCTTTCACACAACTTATAATTCAAACTCGTGTC